GGAGGAGCAGCCAGCAAGAGCCCTGCTATGGGGTGGGGAGAGGTCAGGGGTGCCAGGCTGGGGGGGGGTCTTGTCGATGGAGCCAGAGATGTCCCAGCGGGTGGGGCACCACGGTGGGGGGTGCTCCAGCCAGACGGTGGAGCTGTGGGGGAGGGGACATGGCGAAGGCTTTTCTCAGCCGCTCGTTGAACAATCTCTCCAAAGGCGCCGTAAAACCCATCTGCCGTGACGGCGCCACTGCAGCAGGCCATAAAAGCGCGGGAGCAGCGCGCGTGCCCGCAGGAGCCCTGGGTGTGCCCCTCACCCCACATGCGCCGTGCCCAGCAGCGAAGCCTGCGGGGCCCAGATGGGTTTCGCTGCCCAACTTCCCCCAGTGAAGAATAAACTAGGAAGAATTTGTATTTGTCTGAGGCCTCCAGACACAGTGAGGGCGACTCCATCCCCAGGTGATGGGGAAACCGAGGCAGAGAGGTCAAACGACTCGCCCGAGGCCGCACAGGGAGTCAGCAGCAGAGCAGGGACTAGAACCCAGGAGTCCTGGCTCCCCCCATCCCTGCTAATTGTCAGCTGACACTGCCAGGGAGCCCCACAGGCACGGTGTGTTTGGGTCTGCTAGCTTCCCCCTCCCTCCAGAGACAGCCCAGCAGCAGTTCCACCCCACTGGGTTCTCTGTCTTCCCTGGGGGCAGGGCATGTCCAGCACCACCCCTCTCCCTCCCCAACTGGGATGAAGGGGGAATTTTTTGTAATATTGTTATGAATCCTTGGCGGGCCTCAGTTTCCCCGGCCCTTTGCATTGCTCCCAAGGCAAAGGCAGGATGAAGTTTCCATGCAGGCCAGAACTGGCTGAAACCGACCCAGCTCAACCAGGGGGCCCGAGTCAGCGCGAGCCCCACGGCCGGACGCACACTGGGGAAGCAGAGCAGAGACCCCCAGCTGGAGAACCCAGGGGTGGGGGGTGGCGCTCGCTCACCTGGGAACTACGGGGGGAAGCCAGAGACCCCCTGACAACAGAGCTCCCAACAGTGTGCTGGGGACTAGCTCTGGGCTGCGCAGAACGGCCTGTGTTTCGACCCTTCCCTGCTCTGCGCTGACCTACGGCCCTACAGTGCCGGGGGCCCCTTGGCTGATAAACGCCACTGTTCTGACAGCGCTGCTCGGGGTCACAGCAAATGCTGGGTGAGGGGCCTCGTCCCCGCAGAGCGCCAGGCCTCTGCCCAGCGTCTGTCTCAGGAGGACTTGCTGGGCAGCGCTGCTGGGGCGAAGCAGGAGGAATGGAGCCCCACGCTGAGCGCCCGGCCTGCCCTGAGGGGGACCCCTGGGGTCTGACATTAAAGGGGTCCCCTGAGAGCCTGTGCCAAAGCCAGGGGCATAGCGCCAACCCTGGGGCTCTGCCACATCAGCGCAGCCCAGGGGGACGCAGCTGCCACTGGCTTCCTCTCTCTCTGGGACGTCTAGAGCCGCGCAGTGTCTCGGCATGGGGCCAGCACGGGCGCAGGGCATGGTGCTACCTGGCAGCCCAGAGGAGCTCTGCCAGCAGCATGGGGGGCAAGGCCCTGGCGGGGAACCCTGCTCAGCAGCAGGTTACAGGGGACTCCTGCTAATGCCCCCCCAGGGCAGAGGCGGCAGGACCGAGAGGCGGGTGGCGCAGGCTGCTCGGAGCTGGATCGGAGGGATCAAGCTGTATGTTCCACATAAGGGGCCGTGAAATTGACACACTGCGGCGCTGCCTGCGACAGCCGCCCGTGGAGCCGCACATTAGCCGCCCAGCTGCTCCCTCCGGTATAGGCTGGCTCTGCTCCTGGAGCCAAAGGACTGACAGGGCTGGGGGGCAGGGAAAGGACCCTGAAGGTCTGGAGAGGACGTGGGGCATCCTCCAGCACTGCCCTGGCCTCTTGGCCCCACAGCCCAACCCACTGAGCTGGTGGTTAGCCCCTAAGCACAGGGGAAACTGAGTCACAGAGAGGGGCAGGGACATGTCCAGAGCCTCACAACAACTCCCATGGAAAAGCCAGGGGCAGAACCCAGGAGTCCTGGCTCCCAACCCCCCTGCTCTGACCACCTCTCTCTCTCCAACTCTCCTGGGTAGTTAGCAGCCGGGGCCTAGCCCCAGCCCGGCTCTGCCATCCCCATTGGTGGGGGCAACGGGGACTCCATTCCCAGCATGTCTCTGCAGGCACCAGACACAGGAGCAGATCCCCCAGCCAGGCCAAGCCTGGTGACCGCACTGGGGAGCTGTGGCCTTGGGCGCCACCAGCTATCAGGGCAGCTGGCCCCACGGGGGTGGGGCAGGGTCTGTGTGTTTAGCTTTGGAGGCCCCCTGCCCTGGCGCTGGCATGGGGCAGCCAGGTTTGGGGAGCAGGGCCCAGCGCAGTCCCCACTGAGCCAGCCTCGAAGGGTGGATCCCACCCAGACACGGGCAGGCCCTACCCAGAGCTGGTGCCCCTGGCAGGGAAGCTTGCCGGGCAGTGGGAGGCCTACACAGCCGCAGGGATGGGCTCCGCTGAGCACAGCTGGGGGTGGGGCTGTCTCCCTGCAGACACCGCTGCACAGGGCTGGCAGATTTGTGGGTGCTGCCAGAGGATGGATGGGCTCATAACCAGGCTAGTCACGCTGCTTTATGGCTGGCACTAATTCTCCTCTAGCACCTATCCGCGCTGCGTATTCTAATTGCCTCGTTTAGGCGTTGGGGGGGGGGCAGAGTTAGACGGGGCGGGGGCGCCAGCTCCAGGGAATAAATCCATGGGATGGGCTTTTTACAGCTGTTTTCATTGGGAACGTACAATTGCAGCTCATGCCCGGGTGCTGCTGAAGAGCAGAGGGTGGGCAGAGACGTGGCACTTTGGGCACCGCCACAGGAAAGCTCGCAGTGCCGGGGGCCCCAGCTGGGCACCGGTGCAGGGGAGCTGGCAGTGCCGGGGGCCCCGGCTGGGCACTGGTGCAGGGGAGCGGGCAGTGGCAGGGGCCACGGCTGGGCTGTGACAGGGGAGCTGGCAGCACCAGGAGCCCTGGCTGGACAGTGGTGCAGAGGAGCTGGCAGCGGCAGGGGCCCCGGCTGGGCACTGGTGCCGGGGAGTTGCCGGTAGCAGTGGCCCCGGCCGGGCAGTGGCAGGGGAGCTCTGCATTGCAGGAGTCACTCACAGTTGTTGATCTGAGCGCTGATGCTGCTGCCGCCTCCTTGTTGTCGCGTTGCCAGCAACACGCAGCAATGACAGGCCTGGAAATTAACATCTCCCTGGCAGCGAGGTGCCCGCCCCACATGCCAGCCGCCAGCTGGGCCCCATGCACCTGCTGCTGGGGGCGCAGGGGGTGGGGAAGGGCACTGACTGCCCGGGGTGGGGGACCGCCCTCTGCTCTCAGCAACCCACTGCAGTTTATTCTCTTCCCAAGAGGCTTTGGGGGCAGGAAGGGGAGACGGGGGGCTGTGTGCCGGCCGGGGGCTGCAGGGAAGGACACCCCAGCCCCAGGCCAGGGCTGCAGCCCGCTTGTGTCTCGGTGCCCCCAGCTGAGCACAGCACCATGGGGCCCCAACTCTCCGCTCACCCCCACGCTGCCCCCCGCCGCCATGCAGGCCTGCCCCTCCCCCCCCCGGATCCTCCCCGCCGTGTGTCTCCAGCGGAGTCTCGCTGTTAACATCTCCCGGCGCTGCAGCCAGCGCGCTCGGCTAATCAGCGCAACATTCCCCATCGATCGCTGGCCGGGCGCCAGCCTCAGCCCAGCCGGGGAGCGAGCAGCCGCCGGCTCCTGCGCGGGTTCCCCTTGCCTGCAGCAACAGCCCTGGGCCTGGGGACGGGGCCCCCCTGCCCGCCGGGCTCCCCGCAGGCCCTCGGGTGGCCCCTGAGAGCAGAGACCTGCTCCCACGTACCAGGCAGGAGAGCGGTGACCGAGTGGGGCACCCCCTTCCCGTTCCCACCCCACGGAGCCCAGTGACCCCAGTCCAGCTGCTGAGTGAAACCAGTTAACCCCCTGACTGCTGCATTAGCCTCCTCCACGGCCCAGACAGCAGCCCCGGCCGTAGGGAGCCGTCTCCCGGTGCCCCCAGGACCAGCCCCGGGAGAGCTGCGGGGGCCATGCCCGGCGGTGCCCACGCTGGCTCTGCCACGCTGAGCGGGTTATCGATTCCCTGCTCCCCCGTCCCCGTCCCCATGGAAACCCAGCCTGGCCGTGCCGCAGACGGCTCCTGCCATCACTCATGGCAGGTCGGCCTCGGCCTCCCCACGTGGCCCCCGCCAGCCCCGCCGAGCAGCGCCCCCTGCTGGAGGGCCCCGCAGCGCCGTGGCACCCCCTGCTGGCGAGGCGCAGCTCCCCAATCCCACTCACAGCAATTCAACCCCCCGCGGGAACGGGGACCATGGGCCAACCCACCATGCGCCCCGCCCCTGCCAGCCCCCCCTCCATCTGACCATCCCCCCCAACCCCCTCCAGCGCCCAAGGGCCTGTGACAGGCTCCATAAGACCTGGAGAGTGGGGGTGGGGGGGTACCAATGAGCACAACACTCCCTCCCTTTCCCAGGGCTCTGGGGTCCCCCCAGGGTGGTGGGCCCCCAACCCAGCTGCTGTGCTGAGGCAATAGGCAGAGGGGGAGCCCCCTGCATGGCACCTTGGGGCCAGGAGGAAGCTCCGCATCGGCTGGGATTGTGGGAGCAACGCCAAGGCCAGGGGAGGGCCCCCCACGATCCCACACGGGGCTCCCCCCACCCCTCACTCCAGACCCACAGGCCTCTCCCTGAGGCACAGCGCACGGGCGATGCACGTGGGGGGGATGTGCCCCCTGAGATCGGGGCAGAGTCACCCCGAGCCAGCCGCATGGGACCCAACCCCTGTGAGCCACTGGGCAGGGCCTGGGGGGAGAGCAGGGGCCAGGGCGGCACACGGCTGGGCATGGTACGGACCAGCACCAGCTCCTCTGAGAGCCACCCTACAGCGAGGGGGGCAGCGCCCGGCATGTGGCCCGGCTGCAGCCTCAGGGGCTGGCGGTATCGGGGCCAGCGGAGCCGCCGGCGTCTTGCAAACGCTTTATTGGTTGGCTCAGTCGCTAACACAGATACAAAAATATGAACTGTACACGGCCCAGAGGGGCGTCTTCACGGAAGACAGATCAGCCTCGCCAGAGCGAGGGGCTTTACCACGAGGGCGCCCAGCACCAGGGCCCGAGGCGTGAGGGGCTCCGGGGGAGAGCGTCCAGCCCTGCCAGTGGAGGGGGGGCCCAACTCTTGGGTGCTGTCCAGGGCCGCACCCTGCAGGGCCAGAGCCAACAGGATCCTCCGACTCCCCATGGGGCCTTTGGGAACGTGCCAGGCGAGGAGGAGGCCCCCCCCCCCATGGCGACAGCCCCCCCGGCAGGGTCCCTCCTGCTGGAGTCTCTGGGAGTCGTCCATAAGCAAAGGCCCATTTCATAGGTGCACAGAGCCCCGACCACCAGGAGGTGCCAATGAGGCCAGGATGGAGGCGGGCGTCTGACCAGCAGCAGCGGGGACGACGGAGAAGGGCCCTGGGGAGGGAGAGAGCCCATCAGGGGAGCACGCCGGGCTGGAGCAGGAGGGTGGGCACGGTGCCCAGGGACTGAGCGCTGAGCTAGGAGCCCGGGCCCAGAAATCAGCACCAAGGGGGAGCCTGCCTGGGACCCCGCCCCCCACCCAGCAAATCACCTCTCCCGAAGATGGAGCAGACGGGGGGCAGGTCTATCCAGAGCTCCCTTCATCCCCACAGCATACCAGCACCAGGCCCCCCCCAACCTCCCACCGTGAGCCCCCCAGCTCCTCCCCAGCCCCCCTGGAGACACTGCACCCCAGCTCCCGGCCAGTCCCAGGCACCCTGGCCTTGCTAACATCCCTGGTACCTGCCCTCCACCCGGGCACCCCTTCTTACCGCCCAGCCAGCCTCTCCTCCTCCAGCTGAACGCCAGCACGGGGCATCTCTGGGATCGGCACATCCTGGGCTCCGGCACCTCGGCCTGGGCGCTCTGGGGACCGGCAGGTGGAGCAGCTGAGCCGGGGGACTGAGCTGGGGTGAAGGCGCCCGCCCCACAACCCACGGCGTGGGGTCGGCTGCTTGGAGGGTTTGGGGGGGACAAAGTCCAAAAATCCCCAACTTTGCAGCAAGGAGACCCCGCCCCCCAAGAGTGCAGGGGGGGTCAGAGCCACAGGAGGGGGAGGGGGATGAGGGCGAGGCTGAGGCAGGGGCCGTGGGGCCGGAGCGTGGCCAGCGCGGTGCTGTGACCCGGCGACTCGGTGTCTGCAGAGAGAACAAGAGCAAAAGGCCCTGGGAGCTGGGGGGAGCTGGTCATGGTGAGCTCCCCCGACCCCCCCCTGCTGCCCATGCCCCCCCGCCCAAGGCATGTA